AGGTAGAGGATGAGTGAGGATGAGTGAGAGCTGACGTGTCAGCACTTACTGTCAAAGGGATCTCAGATAATTTTTGTACTATATTTTAAAAAATGCAATGTAGTTTTAGGCTAAATTATTAGAAATATAGTGTTCATGTTCTGCAACATAAAACCTCTTTCCATTTGGAAGTATGTTGTGTTCACTTCTGAGCACATCTGAGAGGCAGATTAGTGAAGCCAAGAAGAGTCATACGGCCCAGGTTTGAGGTCAGACTCTGCTCCTTAAAGACTGTGCCTTGAATAAAAAACTCAGTCTCTTTATTTCTGCAAAGTATGGTACTGATATGGTTTGCCTGGATCCACATTTCATCTTGAATTTTAACTCCCACAGTTCCCACATGTTGTGGGAGCAACTCAGTAGGAGGTGATTGAATTATGGGGGTGGGTCTCTCCTGTACTGCATTTTTCTCTTGATAGTGAATGGGTCTCATGAGATCTGATGGTTTTAAAAGGGGTAGTTTCCCTGCACAAGCTCTCTTCTCTTGTCTGCTGCCACATGAGACGTTCCATTTACCTTCTGTCATGATTATGAGACCTCCCCAGCCACATGGAATTGTCAGTCCAGTAAACCTCATTCTTTTGTAAATTGCCCCCCTCAGGTATGTTTTTATCAGCAGCATGAAAACAGACTAATACAGGTACCTACCTCATAAGGTTGTTTTGAATACATGAATTATTATGTGTAAGCCACTTAGATTAATGCCTGGCACATAGTTCTATGTGAGAGTTACCTGTTTTTGAGGTGATTTCAGAGGAAAGGAAGAAGGATGGTGGGCTGCTGGAAGTCATGGTGTGGAAGAAACAGTTGAAGAAATTGGAGGTGTTTAACCCAAGAAAGAACTATTGGGAGTCCTTTACCATTTAAAGGGAAATTGTATGAAAGAAAGAATAGACGTTTTTCTATTACAGAAAAAGATGGGACTAGGATCAATGGGTAGAAATTATAAAGAGGCTGATTTTATTTTAACAGAAGGCTTTATAATAAGCAGAGCTGTTCAAAATTGCAGTGAATTGCTTTGTGAGCTGATAGAGCTCTGCATTGCACAGAGGCTTAGAAGGCTGAAGAGAAGTTCATGACTTGACTGGCGGGGTGAGCTCAATGACAAGTGTTCTCTTCTGCCCTGCTGTCTGTTCAGGTTAAGGGACTAGTGATAATCCCACGCTGAAATTTGCTGGGATTTGCTAGCATGCATGAGAACTTTCTCCTAGAATTAGTCAGCTCTTTCATGCTTTTATGGTCTATGATTTATTCATTTTTATTGAATATTTATCTCAAATATTTATTGTCCGAGACATTGTATTTCTGGTCTCATATTGCAGAAAAGAAAACAGAGCTTGGAAATGAATATTCACTGCCTACTGTTGCTTGGCACCATGCATTCGATCCTTGAAGGAACCCAATGACTTTACCACAGGTCTCTTGTGTTTCTGAAGTTCTCGTGAGCCAAGCACCAATTGCCCTTTGTTTTAGATTATCTTGCCAAGGACATTTGTTTAGCAAACAGCTTTGGAAGACAGAGATAGTCCCTCCCTCCAGAACAAGGGGCAGGTGTGTTTCCAGTCCAGTCTCTGAGCTTAGATTCAGTTTTCTGAGCTCAGGGTTCTTCTCCAGGAGCTGCCTGTGTGGGCAGGCTTCTCTTTGGGCCCATCTGCCTAACCCCGGTGGGACTTGGGGGCAAGGGGAACTGAGGTGAACATGCTGTACTTTCTCCACTTGCTGTGCTGTGGGTGTGATCAAGTCTTGAGGAGTTTAGGAGCTCCAGGAGTTTTGTGTCTTCTGCCAGCATCTGTGAAACTGTGGCTACCCTCTTAGCTTGCGAGTAGGATAAAATCTCAGCCTTCATCATTCTTGACATGAAGGAGGAATAAAGTGAGAATCGGAGAATTTAAACCTAATGGCCAGAGTTAAGTTATCTAGTATTTGGGGATGGTGGGGTTTTAACTTTTGTCTTCAGAAGATGTACTTTTTATTATATTATGGAAAAACACTGTTGCCTTTGCTGCTGCTATTACTACTGTTACTACTAGAGCAATAATAGCTAATGGTGACAACCAACATTTGTTGAGTGCTAATGACATTCCAGGCTTTGTTTGATCTAATTTAATTCTCACTAACAACCCTATGTGGAAGGTATCATAGTATTTCCGCTTCATAGATGAGCAGAATCAGGTGCCATTACCAAGGTCATGAGTAGTCAATATGGTGGAGCCACGATTCTCACCCAGGCAGCTTTACTCTGCCTGAAGAGACCCCACTCTGTAGCTGTTATGAGCGCAATCTGAAAGCAGACCAAGCTGAGTTTTAAATCCCCATACTATTCCTAACCTTCGTTGTGTGAGGTGGTGCAAATTAATTTAACCTCTTCAAATCTCAGCTGTTTCATTGGTAAAAAGGGGGGAGGGAATAATAACAGGACTTACTCCAAAGGCCTGATATGGGGATTAAACATACATTCTATAAAATGTGCAACACAGCTGGCTCCTGGCAGCTAGTAAGCCTCTCTAAATATTAGAGACTATTATTATTTTTATTATCCTTGCTGCCTTCCTTTTCTCTAATTAAAAAAAAAAGCTCTAACGGTTTTGCCCTCTGAGTTCTATACTGTAATTACTTTTCACTAAAGACAAAATGTTACTTATCCCAGTTTACATCAAGAGGATACATTTCGAATGTGGGGCAAACCTGGCACAGGATATTTCTTAATATATATTTCTTAATAAATATTTTCTTGAAAAAAGGAAAATAGGAGGCAGAACCCCCTGTAGACCCAATTTACTCTCTAATCTTCATTTTAGTAACCCTTTGTATTCCCTAAATAACTCCTAATGATACAGTAATGCGTTAACAGTGACAGCTGATGCCAGCGAAGGTGTCCTCTCTGGGCCTGACATTTTCCTTAATGGTAATTCTAACTAGTTAAGGTAAACAATGTGAAATGTTTGGCATATTTTTTTCACAAATGGTAGTGGAGTGGAAATCATGAAAAGCCTTGTAAAGATGGCAAACTGATCTAGTGTAGCTTTGACAATTCCGTGACTGCTGTTACAAGGGGAAATAATAGAGTTAAACAGCTAGGAACTCTTACCTTTGGGACAGTTGATAAATTGAAGGCATTTTCTGATTGTGCTTTACTTTAGATTAATAGCCTGGAAGTTTTCAGATTTAAAGAGCAAAGTTGTGTATCATTGAAACAAGAAGAAGACATGATACATGCTAAGCTGCTCTGTACCCAAATATTGCAGGTAATCTTGGTAGCTCTATCTTTGAAGCCCAGTTTCGCTTACATTCCCCACTCTGATTTACTCTAATAGTCTAGCACTTGGGTGGTATTCTGTACCTGCAAGAAACTTTGGAAGTAGTCTCGTTTAGGGGCACCAGTTTGCAGATGAGGAAACGGGATCTCTCATGTAAAGGCTTTAAATCAAGTCTTGCAGTATCCAGTAGTGTTGCTTTCCTGAGCATCCCGTACTGTCCTTAGTGGCTTTTGCCTTTCCCTCCATTGCCTTTGTTCCTGCCCTCCCCCTACCCCTATTCATGATATAGCTGATCTTTTAGCATCCCTAACACCTAACAAAAATAATTGTAAAATTCTTTTTGGAAGTTAGATTGAAGTCAAAGACTGCTTTGAATTTCCCTATAAATTGGAAAAGAAATTTTATATATTGTGTTGCTCATGAGTTAAGATCGTTTGCTCTAAATGACAGTTCAGAGTAGATTGTTGTACAGTATTTTGCCTGCAAATACCTGGAAGTGGATATGTGATTGATTTGCTGACAGACCATCTCTGAAAGCAGTTCTAATGATGGACTTATAATTGATGGCATCCGTCATAGAACCTAAAATATCCCCCTCCCTAAATTAAAAAAGATAAATGAAATAAACTAGGCTGAATGTATAAGCTGACAAATCTGAGGGAATTTAATGAAACTCTAAATTACCACAGCCAACAGATAAGAGGAAAAGGTTCTTTTGTTACTGATTACAATACTAAATTAAAAAAAATTATCCGAGAAAGATAGAGGAAACAAAGATCTGTGGTCCACGTATCAAACGAAGTTATTGAAATATTTTTAATAAGTATATCTATCTCATTCCCTGCTTATTGTTGATTCATATCAATCTTGTTAGTGCTGTTTGAAGACGAGTGAGTGCAGGAACCGTCCTGTAGGATAGCTTGGCTGACTGCTATTGTAAGAGATTTTAGAATTAATATGACCTTATTTCCAGATTGCTGGGGGCTCCATACCAAATTCAGGTCATTCAAATGAGCTGTTTGGAAGGTGCTTCCTCATTGTATTTTATCAGTTACTGTGCTTTCAGCTATGTATGAAAGAAGAGCAATTGAAAATGACTTAAACAATGGATATTTATTATCTCCCCTAAGAAGTCCTGAGGGTAAGGCAGCTGCAGGGCTGGCTGCTTTGGTGGCCAAGGACATAGTGGTAGCTTGGCATTCCTCTTGGCTTTTCCTTCCATAGTTGTAACATGGCTGAAGTGTCTTGCGTATCTTACCTTTGTACAGTGATATCTAGGGTTAGGAAAGGGACCTTTTCTTGTTATTATTCTTGCAGAAAATTGTTCCTAGTACTTCCTTAGGTCTATCTCATTGACCAGACTTGTCACTGATAAGGAGAATGGAATTATTAGGAATTACAACAGTTCACTCAAATCAAGAGTTACCCAGTCTCTTGAACAGTTCATGCCTGCCTGCTGTCTGATTAAAATCAGTTCTAGTGCCCATGACACAGGTGAAGAGAAGGGCGCCTTGGATAGGCAACAACAAATCCACTTAGATGGGCTATTGGAATTAACCGTGGAGGAAGTTTTCTGTTTTCTTTTGGTAACTTATTTCATTTCCCATTTAGTAAGATGAATGTGCTAGCATCTGGACTAAGTCAGCTTTCTTTTGCATTTTACTTTAAGTTTACTCAGCTTGATCTACTCTCTGCTTTCACCAGGACTCTGTCTACTAGTGACGATGTCGAAGACAGGGAAAATGAGAAGGGCCGCCTTGAAGAAGCCTATGAGAAATGTGACCGTGACCTGGATGAATTGATCGTGCAGCACTACACAGAATTGACGACAGCCATTCGCACATACCAGAGCATCACAGAGCGCATCACCAACTCCCGAAATAAAATAAAGCAGGTATTCCTCCTTTCTTCTTGTCTGGTGATGGCAGCACTTCCTGTCAGTATAGGTGTTACAGCTTGGAGAGGAGCCATAGTAGTGGCTAATGGTTCTTAACAATTGATTCAAAATGCCACTTTTCTGCAGGTATCTGGAAAGCCTGGCTGGGAAAGATCACAGAAGGCATCCCCGGCTGACTTCTCCTCTCCCCTGTGTCTTATCCTTGGTTCTGCCATTACTTCTCACTGCAATGTGATGGCCTCCCCTTGCTTGTGTCTTACAATCCATCCCTGACAAACTAGGAGGCGTACTGGCCCTCGTATTCTCCATTCTCATTCTAGCAATTATTCCTGTACTTCACACATCTAAACAACAAAGCATAATATTCTGACTGTTGAGTCAATGCCTGTTCTGAATCTTAATGGCCAACCTGTTTACAGTTAAATGAGTTGGAGGGCAGCCAGTTGAATACCCTTTTATCAGAATCCAAACCACATAAGAGAGTATATCTCCTACACTAAAGTTGGTTGTGATTTGTCTGCAATTATTATGGATTCTTGGTATTTTTTGTAAAGTGAAGAAAATTTAACCTACAAATTATTTAAAAATATAATGAAATGTTTATGAAAACAATTTTTTTTTTTTTAAAATAGAAATGGAGCCTTGTTCTGTTGCCCAGGCTGGAGTGCAGTGGTGCCTCACTGAAGCCTTGAACTCCTGGGCTCAAGCAGTCCTCCTGCCTCAGTCTCCCAAAGTGCTGTGATTATAGGTGTGACCCACCACGCCTGGCTAAAAACCAAAATTCTTGAATATCGTGCTTTAGTTGTGACTAGTGTGTATTAAATTTTATTTTGTAATTTTCTTTTCATGTTTTGGAACAGTTTCTTATTTTTTATTCTTGTTATCTTTCTTCCTTTTTCTCCTCCTTCTCCTCTTCTTCCCCTACATTCTTTCTCTCTCTCTCTTCTCCCACCCCTCCTTGTTCCTTCGCTGTACTATGTCTTTAGTACTTAAGGGATAAAATGGGTTTGTAAGGAGTATTTTCGTAATTGGCCAGAGGATGAACTGATCAAATAAGGGTTATGTACTGTAACACTGAAGTTATGTGGTTCTCAGTTGTGTATTTTGAGATCACTCCTTTAATACCTTTTGGTACTAGCCTGTGATAAATAACAATGATTCCTACCACTTATGAACACTGATTCTTTGCAAGGCCTGATTATGTCTAATTATCTCTCAATGAATTTGGAATTTGAACTCTGGTCTCCCTTATTCTAAAGCCTTTGCTGCTGGTTTTCAGGCATTTTTAAAGCAACAGAAACCTTTTTTTTTTTTTTTTTTTTTAGCTATGATATTTTGCAGAATACCAGCATATCAGACATTAAGAGAGGCAATGCTCTCCTCTTATTTGGTTTTGGGGTGAGAGGTCCAAAGCTTCATGCTTGGTACCCCCCCTACCATTGTGGGACTTAGGGATGCATGGTTTAAAATTAGCTGCCCTGTGCTATGAGACTGGTTAGGGGACTGCCTGGCCTGTATCTGCCCAGGAATAGCTGTGCATATGGCATCTTCATGTTTTCTTTTCTGTCCATTAAACCTTACATTATGATTTTGTAAGCAGATACATCAATTATGCTTCTACAAATACTGATGATATGTGACTTTCAGCTTCAAAGAGTCTAGTTCCAGAATTAGTATGCTCTTAACCTTTTTGGAAGCCACGTGTTTACCTCTTTACATTTTAAAATTAACTGGGCATTATTTTTGTGTTTTTGAGACGGAGTTTTGCTCTTGTTGCCCAGGCTGAGGTGCAATAGCATGATCTCGGCTCACCGCAACCTCCGCCTCCTGGGTTCAAGCAATTCTCCTGCCTCAGCCTCCTGAGTAGCTGGGATTACAGGCAAACACCATCATGCCCGGGTATAACTGGGCATTTTTGAAAGGAATACTGTAATTCTTTACCTTTATAAGTGCTGAGTTCATCCTATGTATTTATCTGTGAAACTAGGTAAAGCTATAGATCACTTGCTCTAGATTTAAAGTAAACTGCAGTCCATTTTGACCCAACATTCTAAGCTCAAGAGGGGTCAGACCATGAATGTATAGAGCTGCCGACCTTCTGGCTTTGCCTCGGGTAATCACAGCAAAGATGAAGGACCTCATGGTATTTGTGTTTTCTGATTAGTCCGGTTGACTGAAAGGACTTTGTCCTAATCTCATGGGAAGCACCAGCAGTGATTTCTGCTTTGCTTCCTGTTACTCTGAGTCGATAGCATCTTTGCCGCAAACAAAGAATGTTTGTCTGATATTGAAAAAGAGCCTTGTCTTGATCATTTCACATTTGTTTTAGTAGCCACGTTTCTTACCATCCTCATTTTCAGTATGCCAGAGTTTTGAGCAAAAGAAAATAACAAAACTTTATTATATCTGATAGTTGTCAAGAAAGTAAATGCTATATTATTCTGGGTTATGAATTAGCTTCAATATTGGGAAGAGAAAGGGTCAAAGCTCTTTTCAAAAGAGCCTTTAATAATTGATTAATGTGAAAATAAAAGCGTTGGGGGACAATGAAAATGAATTTGTTTTTGTTGCATAATTTGACAATTTTGGCCATGACAGTCCATTTCTTATCACCAAGGAGACACTGATGCTTTCTCACTAATCTTTTCCTGTCATTTTTGGTTTTTAATTGCACTTTCGATTATATATGAAATACAGGTATGCATTTTTTTAAAGTGAAAACATGGATGATTCAGTAACAATTGGGCTACGTTATCTCAGAGCCCAGCAAGATGCTGAGAATGTGTAGATCTGAGTTGAAATTTTCTTTCTCTTCTCTGCCAGATGAATAAGGATTCATGCAGCAAGTATTTGTCTAGTGGCTGCTACATTGCCGGTTATGTTTTAGGTGCTAGGACTGCACGAGTGGGAAACAACAGTTCCTGTCCTCATGGAGCTTATGTGCAAATGAGAGGATAGAAAACAAACAGATAATGTTTAACAACATGTATGTATTGTGTGTATCTAGTGTCTGCTTTGTGCTGAGGATTGTTCTGATTTTAGGGTATAGAAGTGAAGAAAACACAAACATTTCTGTCCTTGTGGAGTTTACATTCTAATCAGGGGAGACAGACTCCAGACTGTAAATGAATATGTAAGTAAAGTGTGGTATAGCGGTTGGTAAGAAGTGCTACACAGACACCCACACCCCCCCACCCCCACCACCCTTCACCCCCACCCTGCAAGGAAGGGAGACTAGGCATTGCTGTTTTAGCTGGGTTGGACAGAAAAGGCTTCACTGAGTTCCCATGTGAGCCAACACCTAAAGGAGGTTAGGGAGAGTGTCAGGAAGAACACTCCAGGAAGAAAGGAAGCAGGTGCCCAGGTCCTAAGGCAGGGGCATGATTGGAGGTTTGGAGCAGCAACAGCAAGGTGGTTGGCGAGCTGAAGCAAATTGAGGCATGGGGAGAGATGGCAGGAGAGAGATGAGAGAGCTGGGGCATGTGGTGTGGAGTGGTGGATGGGTGGGTGGAAGTCACGTAGGGTCTTGTAGGTCACTGGAAAGACATCGATTTTTAACTCTTGAGTATAAGGGGAAAAATGATTCTTGTAAGGTTTTGGGCACAGGAATGACATGATGTGGTTAACATTTTAAATGGCCCACTCCAGCTGCTGGGCTGGAAATAGATTTCAGTGGGAACCAAGGCAGATGAAGATGTTCATATTTGTGCATTGTCACCTTTTAAAGCTTGAGACCACAAAACTGTTTATGCTTCCCATTTGAGACAGGGTCTCTCTCCACCACCCAGGCTGGAGTGCAGGAGCATCATCATGAGTACACTGTAGCCTCAACCTCCCAGGCTCAGGTGATCCTCTTGCCTCAGCCTCCTGAATAGTTGGGACCATAGGTGCGTTCCATCAAGCCTGGCTAATTTTTTTGATTTTTTTTTTTTTTTTTTTCAGAGACTTTTACAGATTTTTTTTTTCTCTCTGTGTTGCCCATGTTGGTCTCAAACTCATGGCCTCAAATGATCCCCTGCCTTGGCCTCTCAGAGTGCTGGGATTACAGGTGTGAGCCACTGTGCCTGGCCTACACGTCTCATTTTTTAACATTACTTTTATACACTGATTTATATTATATTGGTAGAGTCTATGCTTTTGAGGATACATATGAGCTGACATATGGATTTAACTTTCTTTTCTGATAGTCAAAGCTTTTTTTTTTTTTTAAATTACTTCTTTCTTTTCCTTCCTTCCTTCCCTCCCTCCCTGCCTCTCTGTCTCTGTCTCTTTCCTTCCTTCTGTCCGTCCGTCTCTGTTGTCTGGGCTGGAGTGCCGTGGTGCCATCACAGCTCTTTGCAGCCTCAAACTCCTAGACTCAAGGGATCCTCCTGCCTCAGCCTCTTGAGTAGCTGGGATTACAGGCGCTTGCCACCACGCCTAGCTAATTAAAAATATTTTTTTTTTTTTTACAGAGACTAGGTCTCATGGAAGGCTCATAAGCTCAGCCTTGATACCATGTACAATTGATCAGATCAAGTAATGTGGACAATAAGCAGAATAACTGGGCATTTGTATTACTTTTGAATGCATTGTAAAATTTCTCAAAATGAGATGTTATTGCATTGGAAAACCTCCAATTCCATAGGTTCTGCCAATGTCTCTCGTAATTATGATTAGCTTATTATAGCAGCAGCACCAAAATAGATGGATGTGAGTTGATACAAATTGGGGACTTGGGCCAAATGAATTGGTATGTTTCTCTATGGTGTACTAGGTGAATGAGATGACCTCAGGTTTCTTTAAAGTTGCAATATAGTCTAATGCTTATCACTGGAGCAGGGTAGGTGGAGGGGAGATACTTGGCTTTGTTGTGATGTGCACACAAACACTTAATATTTTATCCCAATTTTGGCTGCCCTATTGGTGCTAGATTAAGCTCTGAATCTCATTTTTCTTGCCTATAATGAGAAGAACTATACGTGATTATTTATGTGAAGTTGTTAGGGCGGGCTTAA